CTTAGTAAATTTAATCACTTTTTTCTCAAAACAATTTTATAACTTACGGTGGTGTACTTAGAATTTAATTATCTTGACCATTTTATGAGCAATTCTTTCTCATTCAATAAAAACTGTGACCATCTTAAATAACACATAAAATTTGTCTTAACTCCTTTTCCATTCGGAATTGGCCCATGCATGAAATGAACTTTTTTGTTGAAAATTTTGTCAAGAATCACCCTCCAGAGTTTGGCTGTTAACATTTTAGCTGCAGTTATGGTCCCTCTGTATGTATATATATATATATATATATATATATAGAATAGAATAGAATAGAAAAATAATTTTATTCTGGGACGAAGTCCCTTCAGAATAACAAAAAAGTACAGAAATTAAAATTTTACATCTGGCCAGATAAAAACAAACATAACAAATTAAGATAATGATAAGTCATTAAAGAAAAGAAAAGAAAAAAATATTGGTTATACATACTATATACAAAATAAAATATAAAAATCTATATAAAAAACTCTTGAAACCATACTAAGATATTTAAAACTATGTACGATGTTAAAATATAAATAAACCCTTTTAGAAAAAATAAAAAATACAGAAAAAATAAATGTATATTCTTCTTAACAGTAAAATCTGTTTCTGTTGAAACAGAAAAAAAAAAAAAAAAAAAGAGAAAAAGAAAGTCGAATCTATAATAAGTATTCAGGTCATGAGCTATATGTGAATATGGTCTTATATATAATGTGTAATTTTACATAAAAGATTAGCTGGTGCCTGACTGTTTTTGGGACAGGAATTGGAATAGGAGGGTTTTGAATGTAGATAAGGATGAAGAATGTCGAATTTTGATTGGAAGGGAATTCCAGAAACTAACAGAACGTGCAATAAAGGAGTTTTGGAACGAGGCAGATCTGTGAGAAGGAATGTAAAGGTCGGAAGGTCGAGATCTTGTGGAGAGGGAGTGGACTGAGGACTTGAATTGGAGAAGGTTGTAGGCGTAGGAAGGACGATGATTGTTGATGATATGATAGAGGAATGTACCTAGGAAATATTGTCTTCGAATGGAGGGGAAGAGCCACTCTAACTCAGTGTAATGGTGAGAGACATGGTAGTATCTCGGGGCACCAATTACAAATCTCACGCAACTGTTCATTATTCTTTTCAGTCTGTCGCGGAGCTCCACCGAGAGTCCATCATACACCACACAGCAGTAGTCAAAGTGGGGGAAGATGAGAGAGGAAACGAGGAGTCTGCGCGTATGTTGAGGTAGGAGATGGCGGAAGCAATGGAATAGTTTGAGGGTAGAGACTGTCCGTCGGGAGATGTGAGAAATATGGTGACTCCAGGAGAGGGTTTGATCAATAAATAGTCCTAAATTTTTTACAGAGGAGTAGAAGGAGATTGGCTGGTCACCAAGGTTTAGTATGGGAAAGTCCGTATAGGATCTAAGGAGGGGCTTGGAACCAATGACAATGGCCTGAGTTTTTGAAGCATTTAACCTTAATCCGTTTAATTTTGCCCAGGCACAGATTCGATCTAGGTCTGCTTGGATCTTAGTAAATGCTACCAATAGCTCAGGGGGAGAAAAGGATAGGTATATTTGAGAATCGTCTGCATAAAGGTGGTGGGAACAATGGAGAATTGAGTCATGGAGGTCATTGATATAGGAACTAAAAAGGAGAGGAGATATGCTAGATCCTTGGGCGACTCCAGAGGATAAAGGCAGGTAGGCAGATAGTGGTTGATTAGGAATGGAGACTGCTTGGGTGCGTTGTGATAGGAAAGATTGGAACCAAGAGATGGAGCTATTGGAGAAGGAGAGTGATTTTAGTTTGTTGAAAAGGATGGGATGGTTAATGGAATCAAAGGCTTTAGAGAAGTCAAGAAGTATAAGGACAGTTAGTTGTTTATTATCTATTGCAGTCTGAACATCATTAGTAATTTTGATTAAGGCGGATTGTGTGGAGTAGCCGGGACGGAAACCAGATTGGAGAGGATCGAGTTGGTTAGACTTTTCTAGGAAATTGGAAACTTGGGATTGTACCAATCTTTCTAGGGGTTTTGAGAGATTGGAAAGAATTGAGATTGGGCGAAAGTCTTCGGGAGAGGATGGATTAGGCTTTTTATTTAAAGGGAGTACAATGGCTTTTTTCCAAGAGGAAGGGAATATTGAGTTCTGTAGGGAGAAATTGTAAATGAAAAGGAGAACTGGGAGGATTTCGGGGAGACATAATTTTATCAATTTGACAGGAATGCCATCTGGTCCTATGGAATTGGTGTGGGATTTCATTACTGCGGTTAGTAAGTCAGTCGGGGAAATGTAGGAGAAATAAAAGTCATCATCATTAAATGATGACTCAGGAGCATAGTTGGAAGAGGAGGGAAGAGAAGAGGTAGAGGAGGCAGAAATAAAATGTGAATTTAAATCGTCAGGTGAAACGGAAAAGAACAGTGAGGAAGGGGATCTAGAAGGTTCACAGAGGGAAAGTTTGCGAAGGATTAGCCATTTAGATTTGGGATCTGGGGCAGATGACAGGGCTTCATGGAAGTAGGAAGCTTTAGCTCGCCGAATTCTTGTTTGTGTCAAATTGCGGAGCACCCTAAACGCTTGATAGTCATCTGTAAGCCTAGTACGTCTAAAGCGTCTGCGGGCAGCATCACGCCTCTTCTGCAGATCCTTGATTTCTTGACACATCCAGGGTGCAGGCCGACGGCGAAAGGTTGATGTTTTTATGGGAGCATGGGTGTTAAGGATATTGAGGAGATTGGAAGTCAGGATTTCAACCATGGAGTCGATGGAGGAGCAGGAATATATTTCGTTCAAGTCTAAGGTTTCAAGGTCAGGTAGTATTTTTTCACGGGTGAGAGTGTCTATCTGACGGAAAGTAAAGGTTCTCGGATGAATCAGAGGGGTTTGGATATTATATGTTATTTGGATCATGTCGTGAGACGATAAGAAGGATACTGGCAGTTGAGAAGAGGAGAGGAGATTTATTTCGGAGTCTATAATGAAGAAGTCTAACCAAGTGTCGGCCTTGTGGGTGTGGTGAGTAGGATAAAAAGGAACAATAAAGAGATGGAGGGAAAAAAATAGGTTTTCTAGATAGGTTTTGTCTTTGGAATTAGAAAGGAAATTGGTATTGAGGTCACCGGCGATGATTATTCTAGGATAGAGGGGAACAAAGTTGAGTAAGGTTGATTCTAAGGACGGATCAAATGGAACAAGGGGAGGACGGTAGATCACTATGTAAAGGAGAGGTGAATTATTACAGGTAATTTCTACTAGAAGGTATTCCACTTGTGGATGTTCGGAGGGTGGGGAGTAATCAAGGATTCGGGACTTCAGGCTATCATGGACAAATATGGCCACTCCACCACCAGTCCGGCTGACCCGGTCGTGGCGGATGAGGGTGTAATTAGGTAAGGAGACAGATGAGGACGGAATATAGGGTTTGAGCCAGGTTTCTGAGATTGCGATGATGTGAAAAAAGTTTTGAGAAAAGTACTGCAGGAATTCATCATAATGGGCGGGAAGGGATTGCGAGTTAACGTGGCAGGTGGTTAGGATGCTAGACATGGGGAGGATTTGATGGGAAACAGTCAGAAATTAGCATAGAGGAAATGAGGCATATATCATATTCTGAAAAAAAATTATGAAAAGTACTGATAGGCAAAATAAAAGTGAATAATGAAAAAATAAGTGAGAAATAAGAGTAAGAAAATAAACAAATTAGTAAACTGGAGCTGTGAGAAATTTTAACCAAAATCTTCAATGTTATTTGGGCACCAATGAAGACAAAAAATACTTTGAAGAACGAGAAGAAGAGATGAAACCTGTGCAGTCAGGCGAAAACTTCTAGATCCGATGCCTGATTAATCAAGATTACTTGATGGCCGTCTTCTTTTCGGCAACGCACAATGCCGGCAGAGAACCATACGTATCTTATCTTCCCGGCAGCTCTCTTCTGCCGGGCTAGCCAGTAGAGGTGCCTGTTTGTTGGGGTCATCTCCTCGCCGAGATAAATTCGGTGGCAGTCGTTTTCCTGCCACCCGATATCACGCGTCGAGAAATCCCTCTTCACTTTTCTTCTCGCTATCAGGTCGTCCCTCACTGACTGCCTGACGAAATGTGCTATTACCGGCGGCGGTCGTGGGTCATCCTTCTTGCTTCTGCGGCGCTGCACGACATCCAAATCCTCCACTCCGAGCTTGATGCCCAGCCCCGCGGCTATACTGGTCACCAGAGCCGCGGGCGTCTCGCCTGCTCGCACTGGGATCCCACGGATCTCCAGCGATCTAGATAATTGACCCTGTTCTGTTTTGTTCAGGCGGATCTCTAAATCGCCCACTCGAGCTTTGAGGGCTTTATTTTCCAAAATGATCTCCTCAAAATGTTTGGCTTGGCCCTCGAGATGTTTTTCTAATTTAGATAACCTCTCATTCAGTTCAAAGCTGAGGTCTCCATATTTATCGAGGGCTGTCTTCATATCCCTTATTTCCTCACTAACATGACTATCCAGTCTATTAACTGCTGCTAATATTTCTGATACAGGCGGTTCATTGTTTAAATTTAGTTTCTTAGGTTGATCGCAATTTAGGCACATCCATGTTTTTTTTGTGCTTCTCTGAGCTTCTATCTCTTTGTCTGTGAGATTAAAACACTTGCCGTGATAAATAACTTTGCACTTGGTACAACATAAATTGTATTTATCTTCACGGGCAATAGCGTTATTACAAATCGTGCACTGGACCATTTTTAATAATAAAAAATAACTTACAGTTAATGTCAAGTTAAGTTGATGTTCATATATATATATATATATATATATATATATATATAATATATATATATATATATATATATATATATATATATACACATACACACACACAAACACACACACACACACACACACACACACACACACACACACACACACACACACACACATATGATATGTATGTTATATATTTAAGTTATTACTATTGAAATTTGCTTACAGGTGAAAGTTTGGAGGAGCTGAATGGTTATGGGACATTTAAACATAAAAATATAATCTCAAGTCTTTTAGGAACTCCAGGGAAAAATAAAGGTCTTGCTATATCCAATCCACATGACTTCAGACAGGTAGGCTTATATATATATATATATATATATATATATATATGACTGATTTTATCTTTTTTTCACTCTGGCTGATACCATTATACCAGGATAGTGCAATTAGGAGAATGAAATATTATCAATATAATTCCTTTGATGCAGCTTTGTTTTTAAAAGAGATCTGTGTTTTTTATTTGCATAATTTCTTTAGACATTATTTTATTTCAGTTCTTGATAATATATAATATCACTTATCAAATAAAAAGTGTTAGTTTAAAAAATGGGAGAGAGGCTGAACTGGATATAACATGGCTCAAGATCTGGTTACTAAATGTTAGTTTAAAAATAAGTCAACTGCTTGCTATATTTTTTTTATTCTTTTGCAGTTCTTTTTTCTTATCCTTTTAGCTATTTCAGAAAAAAAGACTAAAGAATAAATTAATGCATCTATTATTACATGTATATTTCATAGTATTTCTAACCTCACATTTTTTCAACTGCCATTGCTATAATGCCCATACCTCTATAAAGCTGGTGATTCTATTTTCCTATAAGTAAATTAGTGTTATATATATTTTATAGGTTTCTTCTATAATTGATGTGGATGTTGTTCCTGAGACTTGCAGACGAGTCCGACTGGTGAAACATGGGAGTGAGCGACCACTAGGATTTTATATTCGAGATGGAGCATCTTTTAGAATCACTCCTCAGGGTGTAGAAAATGTCCCAGGTATCTTTATATCTCGTTTGGTTCCTGGAGGTCTTGCTGAGAGCACAGGGCTGCTTGCTGTGAATGATGAAGTTTTAGAGGTTAATGGCATTGAAGTAGCCGGAAAAACCTTGGACCAGGTTATTATTATTTTTTCTTTATTAGTAAAATTATTGAAGCAAGAATTTAAAATAATTTATTAGAATGTAAAGGACATGTTGAAATCATGCATGGTGTTATGACTTTTTTTTTTTTAATTTATAAAACAATGTGTTATAGCTCTGTATAAAACATTCTTAGTTAAATATGATACTTTAAAATATGAAAAGCACTTCATTGATTTTAATTCAGGAAGGAGGCAAATAAAACTATTATGGTCGGACTAGTGGTGAACTCTTTTTAGATATTTAAAATAATTGAACTTTTAACATGGTGGCATGCTAGTTTGTCAGATTTGATTAGTGAGATTTAATTAAAGTTCATACTGTTGATGTAAAGTTTTATGTAATACCAGTTTATTTAAATTATTATGTTTGGAATGAGGAATTTTCTAAATTATTAAATCTTCTTTAATTATTTAAAGAAAAGTACATTCTTTTAGGGGTGACTTACGTCAGTAAAAATGTTTAGTTAAGTGTAATAGAAAATCTAAAGCCTCAACTTTGAATACTAGATGTTATTCATTCTCATGTTGGAGTTGAGATGATTCTGAATTAGTAATTTAAATATTCATACAACGGTCCAAGGAATGGATTTACCTATTTTCAGGGAGGATTGGGTTTGTGATGTCATTGATTTTTGCTGTGCTTTGTCCCCTATTTTAAAACATAAAAGATTTTAAAGTTGTTCCTAGACTTTATATTCAGCATATACCTATTGAAGTTACCTTGGACAAGCAAGTAATATTTAGTGGGTCTTGTCACTTATATTATATTATTCTTGTCTAACATCTTCCACATTAGTTACTGATTGGTATTATTACATACTTATTATTACATACCAATAGAATGTATTTTATATACATATAAATAAATTTGATTTAACTTTATAGTCAACTAACCACCCCTAACCACTTGCATAATGTAGAATATTATTAATACAAATATTTGGTTGAAAAACGATCATTTTTTTTTATACATTCTATTATATAGTATTTCTATTTATTTTTGCAATATTACTATTTATCTTTACATTTTTCCCCTAATTATTTCACAATTAAATTAAAACAAACTAAAATGATGAAATAACAAATAAAAAATTAGGTAAAATGGTGTTTACCAAACAAAGTTTGCAACACTGGTTAGTAATTATTTCTTAATTATATCCGGTTTTAAGGTTATATTTATCATTCATTTATTTCTCATCATTATTTTTATTTTATCTACATTTTTCATTTTTTTTGTAAACATTTGTATTGATTCTGATGTAGAGATAACTCAATTGTTCACAATGACATTTCTTTGCATTTGATAGGTAACTGATATGATGGTTGCTAACTCTTGGAACCTTATCATCACTGTGAAACCAGCTAATCAGAGGAGCCATAGTGGTAGCAACAGTACAAGTGCCACCTTACGTAGAGAGAGTGTGGCAGGTAGTGGTGGTGGGGGAGATTCAAGTGGAGAGGAAGATATTGTTGCAGACCTCACACAGCACCATCACACCCAATAGGTATTGTTTAAATTTAACTATTAATCAATATTAAAAATGCTTCTTTATTATTTAATGTATAGAAAACTTATTTATTTTATGATTAGGAAGTTTGTTAGGGATTGCATTCAGTGAGAAACACAAATATTTTTTTATTTGGATAGCTTTCTGTGGATATTGTCAAAAGTATCGATGGCCTGAGCATTGAACTGTCACCGTCTCGTTTCGAAATGACAGCTGATTAGAAGTATCTTACACTCATGTCTTGACCACTTATGGAAATAGAGGATAGTGTGTTGGATTCAAATTTTACCAAAGCTTTAAAAAAAAAAAAATCTGAATGATTACGTTTGTATTATCTTGCTTTTTTTCAAACACATTGTGAATGTTCAGTGCTTAATGATTTACGCATAATAGTTCTTATCTGAAATAAACTTAATAGGTTGTAAGTAATGCTGTTTATTTGTTATTATATTAGCCAGAACCTCTTTATGTTGGTGGTCCATTTAATTAACTTTATTTTACTGTTTTCTTTTTCTTTTTATAACTTTTAATTTCTGTTGTAGGTTAAATGTACAAGTCATCTTGTTAAAGAATACGTCCACAGTTAACAGTTCATACTCTATTGAACATTCCATCCACGAAGCGTGCCTTTATGATCATATTTAATTTTGGTTTATGTTATAATTTTAAATATTAAAATTGTATATATATATGTATATGAGAATAATTATTTGTAGGACTATATATGTAATATAGTATTTTAATATATGTATATATATTGCTTTTATTTGTAACCCGAGATTTTTAGAGTTTAAGATCTTTTCTATTTGTCTGTCCTGTTTTTCCTGTGATAACCTACATTTGGCTGAATGATTCTTCCTCCAATCGAATGTTAATGTTCTTTTTATTTATTCTTTGTGGTTTCAATATTTACCGTTATCGTTCTTTGTTCTTAAAATTTTTTTTTTATTAACTTTTATTTTTATTTATTTTTCTCATATGAATTTTCAATTGCTTTTATGAACATTATGTAGTACTTCCTATTGATTATGTTTTAAAGAATCTAGTTTTAAGTACTCTGCCATTTGTTTTCTAGTAGTCAAATTAGCTCTTCAGGATTAGTAAACTATTTCTTAGGTCTCATATCTCTAAAATATTTCTTTAATAAAGATGGTGTTGGACTCCGCACCACTTATCATTACATTATGTTATTATGTATGTCAAACTTTAGTTACAGACATTTTATTCAAGGTTGGTTTATTTATATCATCCTTTTGTTTAATGATTGAATTTTATGTTGAATGTAACGTGTTTAAATCATTATTTTTTTATTATTTATTTTTTTTTTTGCTGATGTACTTATTTCTAAGACTGTTCTTGTCCATTCTGTTTGAAAATAAGTTGCTTACTAGAAATATACATATATTTTTTAAAATTTTGATTTATTAAATGAAATAAATAATTTTAATAAATATATATATATATATATATATATATATATATATATATATATATATATATATATATATATATTTGTACCTCAGAGGAAAAAGGATTAATGTCATAAACCAGTAAAAAACCTGAAATAAAATCAGGGTAGGGAATATATTAATTGTTAAAAGGGTTAATATCCTTCAATTAGTTCTTATTCTCAATTTGCAATAGTTGGAGGAGAGTACAATGGCCCTTTTAACTTAATCTTTACCCTAATTTGAATTTTTACTTATATCTCTCTCCTGTACATGCTCCTTTTTGTTCCAAGTTATATATATATATATATATATATATATGATGAATTAACAAAAATTGACCATAAGGAATTATATTATTGTACCCCAAGGAATGAAATTTGAAGTTTTTTTCTAATCTTTGAATTCTCTTTTTTTTTTTTATACAGTCCTTATTAAAATATGTTATCACTGTTATATAATGTTATCAATTGACATAAGTTATCTTATTTTCTCGTTTATGGACCTTGACTATATTCAATAATATAGAAAATATATTTTCTTTACATCTTGTCCTAGAAGAAAACGTCAAAATCTACTTTTTCGCCAAAATCATACCTAGAAATCAGAATGTTAAGTGTTGAATGAGAAAAAACCACGTGGATAATTTTTTTTTATTTCTTAATGATATTTACAACTGTATAAAAGAAATACATTTAATAAATTTTAACATGTGGATATAATGACATGAAAACACTTGTTGAGAAATTACCCAATGGTAGCACTCTAATGATATGTCTACATTAGATCACGGGGCCATCTTCTTTTCAGTCGCCTCGGAAGGTCATCAGGAATTGAAGAGGAAGCAAGGTTAGAAAGGAGAGAGTTGGGATGATTCTGAAGTTTTTAATCTTTTAATCTTTTATTATGATATTTACAACTGTATTAGTATGAATACATCAAGTAAATTTGTACAGAGAAATATTATTACATGAAACACGCTTGTTGAGAGAGAAACTACCCACTGGTAGCACTCTACTGAAGTTTATTATGGAAGGATAGGTATCTGAATCGGGCCAGATCTGAAACATAAGAAACATTATTGTGGTCATTATGGATGGTTTTGTTTGTAACAAAGTAGGGAGCATTAAGGATTTTATGAAGGATTTTGGATTGTAAGGATTAGATATGAGAGGAATTTGATGGTTTAATGGAGCCCCATAGCTCAACTCCGTAAGTCCACATAGCCCTTATTATAGTCATGTATATGAGTCTTTTGTAATTAATTGGAAGTTTAGAGCGTTTGTCTAGTAAGTGCTGAAGTAATCGTAAACATCGAGGAGTTTCTTGTCGTTTCAGTCTGGTATGATGTGGATAAATAAATGCCAAATAGCAGAAAATTACTTATAGTGAAAAAAAATAAATAAATAAAATCATACATGCTGTAACAAATAAATGAATTAAAAATATTTGTCCTAATACAGAATAATAATCAAACAATGAAAGAAACAAAATTATCTTGAAACATTGAAAATAAAAAGAAACCTATGAATTCGAAATTAAAATGTGTGTGGATTCTAATTAATTATTATAATTTAACAAAAATGAAATTAATTTAAATGTTGAATCAATTTATAATTATTAAAATGTGTTACAAAAATATTTATATTTATGTATATATAATTCAAATTAATATTTTTACATAAAAAAAAAGAAGCATGGTGGAAGTAGTCTTGAACCAGAAACCTACACCCTTTAGATGCTAGCTACTACACTAAGGTGTCACTCACAGAATGAAACATGAACTAGTGTTCCATTCCAAGTCCAGCTTTAATGTGAGGTGTTTTAGTTACGAAAATAATATTTTTTATTCTCACTTATTAAACTAAACACCCAAGGGTTCAGAAAATGTCTTTTAAAGGGGTGCCACTCATCTTAAAAATGTTTTAGATTAAAATATAATGGATCACCTCCAGCCGGTCAGTCATATTTGCCCTTTAACGTCTCTGTGGTCGCCTGACGTATGTCCTCTTGGAGGAGAGTAATGTCCCACATGTGGGAAGTCTGTCACAACCTGGGGAGATGAAACTTTGGATTTTTCAGGAGAAATGGTGACAGGACACGAGAACCTCATGAAGGTTGTTACATTACGCAGTGCTATACTGTCTTCTTTTACCCCTGGGGAATACCGTTTCACAGGGTGGCAATGGATAAGCTTAGACTGGCCCAAGTGATGGCGGCGATAAGGTCGGAAGGAGGACCAAAAGTATGGTGGTCCTGTGTATTCTAGCGCCTTCAGCAGTTCGATACCCCCAGCAACTTATACTCCCTTATTAGGGAGTACCTCAGCGACAGGAGAGTCAAGATAAGGGGTACCTTATATGAGATCGAGCGAGAAATTGAAAGAGGATGACCGCAGGAGGACTGGGACCAGCCCTGTGGAAGTGGGTGTTCGACCAATTGTTGGGGGAACTGGAGGTAGCGTTAGCGGTAGGGGGCTTCGGTAATGGAAGGAGAGAGGTATGCTGCCATAGTTGAAGGATCGTGTGGAAAGAAGAGAATGGAGATGGCAGCGGCAAAGACTCAGGCCATGTTGCTGAAAGGCTCCACAGATAGAGCTCACCCTATCAGTCTCAGAGTCGGAGGGGAGAGAGTCCGTCTAGGTGAGGAAGTTACCTACCTAGGCGTGAGGTTTAAGATGAAGTTCAACGTCTCTCCCCAGATTGAACATCTGCGGAATAGGGTGATCTTGTCACTGAATGGCCTGACAAGGATAGGGGGTGCTTTTTGGGGCCTCAGGTACCAAGTTGTGCTGGGTATACTGAGGTACACAGCCTGAATCAGGTCCAGAAGAGGAAGATGGCCATCATCCAGAGACTTGCCCTGCTGAGGACAACAAATGCCTATATGATGGTATCTCCCATAAAGTGGTGCAGGTGCTGGCCGGAGCGATGCCCCTGAAACTAATCCTCAAGGAGGATACAATCAAGTTCCATTTCAAGAGATAGGGGTTGGAGACGCTATCGAAGGGTCTCCGTGAGAGAATCTGTGAGAATCCAAACCATTAGAAAAGGATTATTGGAAAAGAGTACATTGAAGAGTATAACAGATGGTGGGTGACAACCCCGAAAGGGTCTACCCTCAGAAAGTTTTCCCCCTGTCCAGGCAAGATTAAATGCGACATGGGTCCTCCTTGATTACTGGATCTCACAGGACATGGAGGGTTCCAGAGAAAACTGGCAGACCATGGAAAGAATATCGACCCCCGGTGCCCTTGCTGCGGAGTCCCTGACACAGCAGAACATATATTGGTATCCTGCGCCGCGACGGAGGTATACCGTACAAAAGGGATAAGCGGGTATACTCTCACAGGAGGATTTCCCCCACCTGGTCGAAAAGAGAAACTACACCCGTTCCTTCGAGAGTTTGTGTATGGGTGGAGGGGTGTGACGGGCCCTGCTCATTTCTCTCTGGGAGCAGCCAGAGAGTTCCACCACCGGAGGAGGCCGGAGAAGAGGAAGGACCGGTCGGATGCGGTGCGGTCCCATCACTAAATTGCACCACCGTGTACCTAGCCGTACCACAGTAAACCCAGTGGTTTTATTGTTCCTCAAATTAAATTATCCCTGATTATTGTATAAAAATAAAAATGATCAATTAAGTGTTGTTAATTTGCAGCAGTGGGCATACGAGAACCCCAATGTATTAACCCACTGCTGCCAAAACCCCGTATGGCAGCAATGCCAGGTGAAAAAAAAATGTCTTCTTTTACCTTCGCTCATGTCATGTGACAAGACGTGAGACGGACAGCCCCTGAAGTCCCGGTCGAAAACATATATACACTGACAGGCAAAAAAATCCACCCACTTTATTTTTTCATGTTTTCATCTAAAAATATTTCTGCTTTGGAGTGGTCTATTGTTTTTAATGAATAAATAGGTAATCTTTTTGTTTGTTTTCAATTAGGAATGTTAATATAGAGGACAATAACCCTTAATCCTCAATTAAATGGAATGATTCTAGATTTCAATGTTTAATTTCTATGGAATCCAAATGTTTATTCAGTATCATTAGTTCAGTGCCGTTTCTTGCAGCACATTTCTTAGTCTCCGGCTTTTAATTTTTTCAATATTAAGTTTAAAAATGCCTCTTAGTGCTGAGGATGTTGCGCGTGGTGTGGGACTTATTGATGATGGACGTTCCATTAGATATGCAGCTAATGCCATCGGAGTTCCATATGAAACTTTACGAGACGCCGTCGGGCGTTTTCAGGAAACTGGTTCTTACAATAGGAGGCCTGGTTCTGGACGGCCTAGGGTAACAGAACCACGGGATGACCGGTTTTTGACTTTGAGAATTTTACGAAACTGGCATCTTACCGTTGTTCAAGCGATTCATCAGCTCGAAGAAGTTCGAGGTGTGCAAAGTTCTGAACGTACAGCTCGGAGAAGATTAAATGAGTATGGATATGGCTTTTCGTCCAGTAA